TGTGCCGCAGCGCTGATGTACGCCAGCATCTTCGGCAACGTGTCGGCCATCATCCAGCGCCTGTACTCGGGCACCGCGCGCTACCACACGCAGATGCTGCGCGTCCGCGAGTTCATCCGCTTCCACCAGATCCCCAACCCGCTGCGCCAGCGCCTCGCGGAGTACTTCCAGCACGCCTGGTCCTACACCAACGGCATCGACATGAACGCGGTGAGCGCCCGCCCACCGCCACCGCGGCCCTGGTGTGGCATGGCGCGGCGTGGGGTGGCATGGTGTGGTGTGATGTGGTTTGGCGTGATGTGATGTGGCATGGTGTGGTATGGTGTGATGTGGTTTGGCGTGGCATGATTTGATGTGACACGGCGTGGTGTGGCATGGTGTGATGTGGTTTGATGTGATGTGGTGTGATGTGGCATGGTGTGGCGTGATATTCTGTGCTGTGGTGTGGCATGGCATGATTTGATGTGACATGGCGTGGTGTGGCATGGTGTGATGTGGTTTGACGTGATGTGGTGTGATGTGGCATGGTGTGGCGTGATATTCTGTGCTGTGATGTGGCATGGCATGGCATGATGTGGTGTGATGTGGCATGATATTCTGTGCTGTGATGTGGCATGGCATGGCATGATGTGGTGTGATGTGGCATGATATTCTGTGCTGTGATGTGGCATGGCATGGCATGATGTGGTGTGATGTGGCATGATATTCTGTGCTGTGATGTGGCATGGCATGGCATGATGTGGTGTGATGTGGCATGATATTCTGTGCTGTGATGTGGCATTGCATGGCATGATGTGGTGTGATGTGGCGTGGTGCGACGTGATATTCTGTGCTGTGGCATGGCATGATTTGATGTGACATGGCATGGTGTGGCATGATGTGATGTGGTTTGGCGTGATGTGATATGGCGTGGCATGATGTGGCATGGTGTGGCGTGGTGTGATGTGCTGCGGCATGGCATGATTTGATGTGACACGGTGTGGTGACATGACATGATCTGATGTCATGCGATGTGTGGCGTGGCGTGGCATGACGTGATGTGGTGTGGTATGACTTGATGTGACGTGGCATGATGTGGCGTGACGTGGTGTGGTGTGACATGGTGTGATGTGTGGTGTGACATGGTGTGATGTGTAGCATGACATGATGTGGCATGGCATGATGTGGCATGGTGTGGCATGACATGGTGTGACATGATGTGGTGTGACGTGGTGTGGCATGACGTGGTGTGATGTGACATGGTGACATGACGTGGCATGATGTGATATGAAGTGACGTGGTGTGGCATGGCTTGATGTGACGTGGCATGGTGACGTGATGTGGTGTGGCATGCTGTGGCATGCCGTGCCATGCTGTGGCATGATGTGACGTAGCATGCCATGCTGTGACGTGACATGCCATGCCATGCCGTGGCGTGACGTGATGCAACATACCATGCCATGGCATGATGTGCCGTGCTGTGGCATGACGTGCCGTGCCATGCCATGACGTGCCGTGCCCCGCTGTGCCCGCAGGTGCTGAAGGGCTTCCCCGAGTGCCTGCAGGCCGACATCTGCCTGCACCTGAACCGCAGCCTCCTGCAGCACTGCCGCCCGTTCCGTGGGGCCACCAAGGGCTGCCTGCGTGCCCTCGCCATGCGCTTCAAGACCACGCACGCGCCGCCGGGCGACACGCTGGTGCACGCGGGCGACGTCCTCACCGCGCTCTACTTCATCTCCCGCGGCTCCATCGAGATCCTGCGCGGCGACGTGGTGGTGGCCATCCTGGGTGAGCCAGAGGGGGGCCGGCAAGTCGAGCGCGGACGTGCGGGCACTGACCTACTGCGACCTGCACAAGATCCAGCGCGAGGAGCTGCTGGAGGTGCTGGACATGTACCCCGAGTTCTCCGACCACTTCTGGTCCAGCCTGGAG